GTGGTACAGGAATACTGTACCTCACATTTGGTGGGGGAGCACAGGGGACCTGTCTCAGGAAGGAGTTGTGCAGCTCCGGCAGTGGTGGCTGTTAGCTTTGTATAGGCTGCTTTTCCCGATCCTTAGCAAAATAGGCAACAATATCTAAAGTGTAAACAAGGAGAAGACTGCTTCTCAAGCTGGCCATACACTGGGGTTGAACGAAAAATATAACACATTCCTCCAGCAGTGCTTATGAACGCGTTAAACAAGGAATCCCTGCTGTTTCTGGCCACTGTCATAATACCCGAACAAAGCCGACAACTCATTGGCTGTTGGCTCTGTTCATTCGAAGATTTTTCGACTGGCTCCATCGTTCAATTGATCGAGGGATGCCAGCCAAAAGTGTGCCACCATAAAATTCCATTCACACGGGGAGTTCTGGGATTCCTACGGCAAGGACCTATGGATTCCTGCACCAGGAATGTCAGGTTTCGCCGTTCAGAGATGGCCACTGTACCCATTGAAGTAAATGACAGGGTAACAGCGGCCACATCTGTCAGCAGAAGTCTGCAGGTAATTTTACATGGTACAATTACTAGTCATGGGCTCGAACATCGCTAGTTCGTGTGTTCAGCTAACACACTGTATGGGTACAGTTGGGGTACTGCCGGTTTCTGTGCAGCCCGGCTGCCTAAATGTTTTGGGGTCGGCAAAAATGCCTTGTTTGCCTTGCGGCAGATACGCCCCTGGTCAGTGCTCAATGAAGTGTCAGTGCTTTATACAACATTATACAGCATTTAATGCTATATACAGTACTCTCGTCTTCCTAGCACGCTGGAAAACCTGCCAAAAATCGTACGATTTTCGGCGGGTTGGTAGCGTGCTCGGAAGACGAAAGGCGCACAAGCGCACACTGCCCGCTCAGCATTGCAATTTCTAACATTCACATGGGGCCTAAAGCTCACCACACACGTTACAATTTGACTGTACCATCTCCTTTGGATCTAGTGCGAGGGCCTGCCTGATTGGATACAAATTGATTGGGTAGATTAGGTTTGTCCTCATATTGCATAGTTTTTATTCACGTTGATTGTACAAAGACTGTTTGGTTAGATTGTAACACGTATCGGTGACCCCACACCCTCAATCGGATCTATGACACGAGAAAATCATCACGTCATACTGTTAGGTGTGCTTAATGGCACCCTAACACGCCTTGCCATTGCATGTACATTACATGCACCACAATGCAGGGTAACGTATTACTCTGCATTGTGGTGCAATGTGAATTTTTAAAATAGGGTTATGCACTAGTTTTAGTGTGATTCAGATGCAATAGGCAACCCATTGAAATTAAAGGGTTGCCCTACCACAACACACTAAAAACGCCCTGCACCACACCTGCAATGTCACATCACACAGGTGTAAATGGGGCATAGCAGTAGACTTAAGGTGCCCATACACTCTTCAATTTTCGTTCGAAATTCAACACGAACTTGCTTTTGAACGATAATCGATCAGTTGATGGGAACCCAGTGATTTTAATTTCTGTACTCCTGGCCGAATTTCCGCGATCGGTCAGGTTGGAAAGCTTTTCTCGGTCCAAATGAAAATCAATGAATCAGCGGAGATATCATTCGACAACATAGCAAGAACACAGCACAAAGAAAATTATTTTGGTCGTTCGTCAAAAATTGGATGGTTAGTATGGCTAACAGTGGCGGAACAATCGCTATGGGGCTATGGGGCCCGGGTCACAGATGGGTCTGTCCAGGAAATCCCACTGATGCCGTACGGGTCTCCTGGGTTGGCTGCTGGCTGTCACTGGCGGCTGTGAAGAGGAACGCGCCGCTGTCCAGATCACTGACAACCTATCAGTGATCTGTGGAGCAGCACGTTCTTCCTCAAAGCCGCTGCTGAGTCAGTGACAGCCAGCAGCTGTGGAGGAGGAGGCTGGGCTCGGTGTCGGCAGCGTAGAAGGAGGTGGGTCCCCACATCGGTAGCGGAGGAGGAGGCGGAGCCCGGTGACGGAACAGAAGACGGGGCCCACCAGCGACCGTGGAGGAGGAGGCAGACAGCGGATTGTGGCTGGCAGGTAAGAGGTGTGCAGGGGTGTGACCAGCCCACCTGAGACCCTGCAGAGCCCACCATAGAGAGTCTATGGTGGGCTCTGCAGGGTCACTCTCAGGTGAGCGGTTTGGGATGTCAGGTGGGCTCTACAAAATTTTCCTATGGGGCCCTGTGATTCCCTGATTGCTAACGACCGATTTTCAAAATCAACATTGGACTGTGTATGATGGGGTATTCGAGCTGAATTGAAACAGGTTAGATGAGGGGACGAAAGAAATCGAACAGTAATCTACAAGTGTATGGGCATCTTAATAGGCATCAATTGAATAGTTATAATAATGGTATCCCTTAACCTTGTAGCTTGGCTGTCATACACATACGTGCAGTACAGCAACATGCCTCATTTATACCTGCAAATGGGGAAGATTGCATAAGTCTCACACGATCTGCTGTGGGTGGGAGGTGCTGTATATTCCAATGACAGCTGCCATCGCCCACAGCTGTTCGTAAGTAATTGCACAGCCTGCAATTTCCTGTGGTTGGTCAGACCTGGACACAGACTGTTTGCGCCCAGACTGTTTGCATCCACCTGCCTCCCACAGCAGATCACATGAGTCTCATGGAGGAGTTCATAAGACTCATGTAATCGGCCCCATTTACAGGTGTGAACGGGGCCATAAAGCATGGGGTTGTAAACAAAGTCCCAGTGAGAAGGTTTGCGATAATGTGAAGTGGATAGATGTGAGATGAAGAGCCTAATTAATTATCTTATTGCTTTATGTCAAGGCATTAAAAGAGAACTGTGGCCCAACCTTTTTTTGCCATAGTTCTCTTTAGGGTCACAGGAGGACATATATTAATGTCCTCCTGTGACCCAAAATTCAGCATATAGCAGGCTATTGCCCGCTTTATGCTGACAGCGCAGAGCTGCACTGCAGCCGGGATGGATTCCATCAATTTTGTCAGGATCCATCCCGCTACCTGCCAGCTGGCTGTGCCTCTCTAGTGGCCAAGCCAGCTGTGCCCGCCCCCTCCCACCTCTATCTCCCCAGTCAGCACTGGAGCAACAGAGAGGGGAGGGGGGAATACCTGAGGGGAGCGGTGATTGACAGTCACGGCTCTCTGCAAGGAAAGAATCTGGAAGTCAGTGTTTAGTGGTATGCAATCGTTCATTTACCGATTAATAGAGCCGATGTGTGACAGCTGCAGTATCACACATTGACTCTTATGGGGATGAGTGTATTTTGCTCTCCCCATAATTCTCCTTTAAAATCCCCAATGGGGGTTACAAACAGAAGCCTGACAACAAAGGGAAGCCTGACAGTAATTCAACCCCTTACCCACTCTTTAAAAAAAACTTTAAAGTATCTAAACCCAAGAGCAAAAACGTAAATATATTGCATTTTACCAGTCCATCGAAAAAAACCTGAAAAAATAAAACTAATGCAACCATCACGGTTGCATTAGTTTTATTTTTTGAGTTTTTTTTTCTTTTTTTTAACCAGGTGATCATTCAAATAACACACTTCCTGTTCTACGGTGACAACACTCACTTAGCCTCCTGTATCTATGGAGGAACAATGTTGTTTCCTTGGGACTGGACTGTACTTCTTCCCACATCTTCTCCATAACACAGGGGAAGGTGTTCTGTAGTGCACAGAGAATGCTAGGAGAAAATATCAACCAATCACAGTGCAGCACAGGCAGGGAGCACAGGAAGTTATAAGCTCAATGAATTTCTCACAGGTATTTATTGCACTTATCAAACAGATATAACAAACATGTTCAATGGTATAGTTATCAGACCAAAAGGGAGCACATAAAAGAAGTTAATTTTTGATATACCTATTCATATTTCAATAACTTAGGAGCAGAGAAATCCAGTCCCAAATTATTCTAATTGGTAAGCCAGTACACGTTTATTCCCACATCCTCCCCCCTTGGCTACACAAGTGAGAGTTTTCCTGTTAAATTCCCCCGTCAAAGCCTCTGATTTAAAGGGACTAGGAAAGGGAGGGGGCAGCAAAGCTCACACGAGGTGGGAGGAGAGTGTGCAGTTTATAAACAAAAAGATTTGGGATTCCAGCAAAGTACTGTAGATGAGAATTACAGCGTATTAAAAATGTTTCCAGAAATGTACTAGGAAGGGACGGCTATTATTATACATGTCAGTCATCCCCGGTTTGAAGCCAAAAATCCAAAACCTCATAAGACAAATGGCTTTAAAAAGAAAAGAAAATGTGGAGAAGTCTCCATCCCTCCCCCTCTGCAAACTCCACCTCTGGCATTGCTGAAGTTGGAGTGCAGCTTGCACACAGCCATTGAGGAGACTGCTGTGCGGACGTCACCCAGGCTCTGCTCACTCATTCTGCAGTACAGCATTGTACACACAGCAGAAGAACTGGACCTAGGTCACAGGCGATAGTCACCACCGATGACCCCCCCTACCACTAACACTGCTGAGAACCTGTCCCCCGTGTGCTGCATGTGACAGTGTGACCTGTGTGACTACTAATACACTTCACTCTGCATGCTGCTTGTGTTCTGTTACCCTCTGTAACTTGTCTCCATGTCCAGATGTTCCATTGTATTTCGGATTTCATCACATGTTGACAGGTTTTTCTTTTTAATATGACATTGTTACCGTATTCATTACATCCAAATGTAGAAGAATGGCGACAGAACATAACCAAAAGCTCCTTCCATTCTTCCTAATTTGTTTTTGTTTTGTTTGTTTGTTTGTTATTTTATTATTTGTTTACTTTTTTATCTTGGCGTAGCTCTATGCTTGTCCAAAGCATTCACTTACTGTTGACTCACTCACTACCTCTGCTGGAAGTCCGCTCCAAGCATCAACTACTCTTTCCATAAAGCAACACGTTCCTTTTCCCAGTTTGTGCTGATCACCTTTTAGCTCTGTTGTATAGCTCTGTGAGCGTGTGCTTCTGTTATGTGATAGGGGGATTTCGGACTGTGTGACCACTTTCTTTAAGAGACTGTTGCACCTCTGGATTGTGTGCACTTTTCCTCTGGCATCCCTGGATCTATGGAAGAGATGCAAGCCGATCTGTGGAGGCATCTTCTCATTCTGCTGGTTCATCCCCTGTTATTTGGAAGAGGTAGGAGTCATTATCCTATGTTCAGTAGGAGTTATGTTCCTATGTTTAGTAGGAGTTATGATCCTATGTTTAGTAGGAGTTATGATCCTATGTTTAATAGTAGTAATGAGCCTATGTTTAGTAGGAGTTATGATCCTATGTTTAATAGTAGTTATGAGCCTATGTTTAGTAGGAGTTATGATCCTATGTTTAATAGTAGTTAAGATCCTATGTTTAATAGTAGTTATGATCCTATGTTTAGTAGGAGTTATGATCCTATGTTTAATAGTAGTTATGATCCTATGTTTAATAGTAGTTAAGATCCTATGTTTAATAGTAGTTATGATCCTATGTTTAGTAGGAGTTATGATCCTATGTTTAGTAGGAGTTATGATCCTATGTTTAGTAGGAGTTATGATCCTATGTTTAGTAGGAGTTATGATCCTATGTTTAGTAGGAGTTATGATCCTATGTTTAGTAGGAGTTATGATCCTATGTTTAGTAGGAGTTATGATCCTATGTTTAGTAGGAGTTATGATCCTATGTTTAGTAGGAGTTATGATCCTATGTTTAGTAGGAGTTATGATCCTATGTTTAGTAGGAGTTATGATCCTATGTTTAGTAGGAGTTATGATCCTATGTTTAGTAGGAGTTATGATCCTATGTTTAGTAGGAGTTATGATCCTATGTTTAGTAGGAGTTATGATCCTATGTTTAGTAGGAGTTATGATCCTATGTTTAGTAGGAGTTATGATCCTATGTTTAGTAGGAGTTATGATCCTATGTTTAATAGTAGTTATGAGCCTATGTTTAGTAGGAGTTATGATCCTATGTTTAATAGTAGTTATGAGCCTATGTTTAGTAGGAGTTATGATCCTATGTTTAATAGTAGTTATGAGCCTATGTTTAGTAGGAGTTATGATCCTATGTTTAATAGTAGTTAAGATCCTATGTTTAATAGTAGTTATGATCCTATGTTTAGTAGGAGTTATGATCCTATGTTTAATAGTAGTTATGATCCTATGTTTAATAGTAGTTAAGATCCTATGTTTAATAGTAGTTATGATCCTATGTTTAGTAGGAGTTATGATCCTATGTTTAATAGTAGTTAAGATCCTATGTTTAATAGTAGTTATGATCCTATGTTTAATAGTAGTTATGATCCTATGTTTAATAGTAGTTATGATCCTATGTTTAATAGTAGTTATGATCCTATGTTTAATAGTAGTTATGATCCTATGTTTAATAGTAGTTATGATCCTATGTTTAATAGTAGTTATGATCCTATGTTTAATAGTAGTTATGATCCTATGTTTAATAGTAGTTATGATCCTATGTTTAATAGTAGTTAAGATCCTATGTTTAATAGTAGTTATGATCCTATGTTTAGTAGGAGTTATGATCTTATGTTTAATAAGAGTTTTGAGGCTATGTTTAATAAGAGTTATGATCCTATGCTTAGTAGGAGTTATGATCTTATGTTTAATAAGAGTTATGAGGCTATGTTTAGTAGGAGTTATGATCCAATGTTTAGTTGGAGTTATGATCTTATGTTTAGTAGGAGTTATGATCTTATGTTTAGTAGGAGTTATGATCCTATGTTTAGTAGGAGTTATGATCCTATGTTTAATAGGGGTTATGATCCTATGTTTAATAAGAGTTATGATGCTATGTTTAGTAGGAGTTATGATCCTATGTTTAGTAGGAGTTATAATCCTATGTTTAGTAGGAGTTATGATGATCCTATGTTTAGTAGGAGTTATGATCCTATGTTTAGTAGGAGTTATGATCCTATGTTTAATAAGAGTTAGGATCCTATGTTTAATAAGAATCAGGATACTATGTTTAATAGAAGTTAGGATACGATGTTTACCTCCTTACCATCTTGTCTTGAATTGTATTGTGGTTGTAATGTCTTCCTATTATTGTAAAGCACTGCGCAAACTGTTGGCACTATATAAATCCTGTATAATAATAATACGGGTTAGGATCCTCTGTTTAATAGGAGTCAGGATCCTATGCTTAATAGGAGTCATTAACCTTTTTTTTTTTTTTTATTAGAAGTTATCATCCTATGTTTAGTAGGAGTCATGATCCCATGTTTGGGAGGAATCATTACCTTATGGTTTAGCCTAAAGCTGGGCATGCACTGTTAGAATTTCAGCTAATTCACAGGAATTGGCCACAATTCTAACAGTGGGTGGCCCTGCCGGAACTGGAAAAATCGATTACTGAATCGACTTTTGTCGAACATCGTTGGACAAAGAGTGACAGCAGCCAATCAGTTACAGTCACTGTTTGGCTATGCTGTTTAACACATTTGACCAAATCTGTTATACATATTTTATTCAGCCAGCTGAAAGAAAAAAAACTATTAGTGTATGGCCAGCTTATCTTTAGGCAACATCTTTCAGCGGCCTGTCCTCATACGCCTCTACCAGCTAAAAGATTCTTTTTGGTACACTAAGAATCTCTTATAGGCAAGACTATAAGAATACTTAATACATGGGTGACCTGTGTGAAGGAGTTGGATCCTAAAACCTACACAGGAATATTTGGGGCAGATTTTACAACCTAGCCAAATCACCTGGCATGAAATGAAGAGTTTACAAATGCTCTGCACTCTCTGCACATTCCAGACTTCACATTTCTGGAGATAGTCGCATGTTTTTTAGGTATGTTGTTAAGAAACTCAAATTTCTTCCAGATGTTCCTCAGGAGAATTCAGTACCAGTCGCAAGGGATATATTGTTACAGAGGAATTGTAATGATACCTTCTGCTATGCCTGCTGTCTACAAATCTGATGTTATGTAAAGTCATGTGACCTCAGCCGAATATATACACTGTGTGATCATCACGATTCAACAGCTTACTGAGATATATAAATATACACTGAGTGGCCAGATTATTAAGACCACCTGACGTTTATAATAATAATATAAAGCCAGTTATATATATAAAAACACACAGTAAATTCCTTTCAGTTAAAACACAAGAAGCCTGTTTGAAAATGTTGATCATTGTATTTCATGTTTATGATCGGTTATTTGCATTAATGCAGTGGCAAAGCTTAGCACATTTTCTGCATTACCAATGAGACAGTGACAGCCTGTGCTCTTATCTTAAATATGAAATGTATTTCTTGTGTTCCATTTGATATTCTGAGAGAGACAAAGACAAATCACAGTCTCTGTGGAAGCTGGTTTGTCTATTTGCTGTGCTTTCTAATTTAGGAAATAAAATCCAACCAGTAGCTGCACATATTGTTTTCTTTTTTAGATTCTTCTCCATCTTGCACAATACAGTGAAGACTGTTTTGTGTGTATATGTCTAGACTAAGTTCACATCTATGTGATGCGGTATACCGTGCAAAGTTGCACGGGATCCTTCATTGCACGATCCAATGTTAGGTGCGCTGCGGTGACATTATTACTTAATGGCACCTCAAAACACTTAGCCATCCCGACACATCGCATGGTAGGCTATTACAATGCAATCTAATGTGATTTTATCAATGTAATCTAATGTGATTTCTTTCAGTTTCATTTAGCTGCGGTAGGCAGCCCATTCAACTGCAGCACCTCTGCGATGTTCACAGAGGTGTGAACGAGGGCGTAAAGAGAACTATAGCCAAACCTTTTTTTTGGCTTTAGTTCTCTTAGTTCTATATACTGACAGCACGGAGCCGCGCTGCAGCTGGGAAAGATTCTGACAATATTGTTGGGATCAACCCCGCTGCCTGATTGACAGTTGGCTTTGCCTCTTTAGAGCCAGAGCCAACTGTGCCCACTCCCTCCCCTGTCTGTCCTGCCAATGACCGCTGGAGGAATGGAGAGGGGAGGGGGGAATCCCTGCGAGGAGTGGTTAAATGACAGTCACCTCTTTCTGTAGGGAGAAGACTGTGAGCTGAGCGATCAGCATTCTGTGATCGTTCAGTTCTCAAGCTATAGAGCCGGCATGTGACAGCTGCAGTGTCACACTCCTGCTCAAGCTATTGGAAAGAGTATATTTTACTCTCCCAATACTTCTCCTTTAAGCTGGCCATACAGTTACAGTTTTCCTTTGCTCTACAGAATTCTTTAATAACCTGGCAAGCGAAAGTTGACATATAATTGGTTGCTCTAAGTTAATACATAAAATTACCCATTGAAGTATGTCACTTTACTTGTGAGCATGTTGTGGAAGTTTAATTTGTGTGTCTTGTAAGTCAGGGTTTACACCAGTACACTACTATGATTACACACGAGCATTGTAGCACATGGGTCTCAGCAATGCATTCACCACTTTAAGACAGGTTCTTAAAGTGGTGGTAGTAAGAACTAACTAAATCTGTTGCACATATTGGAACTGCAACTAAAACTGTCACGAGGCTTTCATGAATTAGGCGCAAGTTGCTTTAAAGGGACCATACTTAAAGTGTATGTAAAGCCAATTTTTTTTAGTTTTGGATAGCGTTAGGAAGGGAGAATTCCCTTCACTTCCTATCGTGGAGATGCTACAGTGAATTCCCCAATGAATGGAATTTACATCTCAGAGCACTGTAATTGGAACAGGTGTCACAATTGGAGGAAATGTACTTTGTGCTCCTTCTGCCTGGAGGAAGGAGCAGCCTGCATCCATGCAACCAAGGACAATAGGCAGCATGAGCCACCTGTGTACTTAAAAAGGTACAGGAGCCGTAGCAACTAAGGATGCTAGTCAGCAGGAGTCGCCTTCCAGCAGGTCTGCCTGAAAACTGACTGGCAAACCTGATCAGAAAGCCTGTGTGAAAGGGCTCTATGGCTAGGTTCACACCTGGGCGACTCCTGACTGCGCGGCAATCGTGCACATAACCGCGCGGATTGCCGTGCGGTTATGGAGTCGCCCACCGTAGCCGATCGCGCTGTGGGTGCCATTATTTTCAAATGGCATCCCAGTCTCGGTTTCCCGCTGCGATTCTGCCCGTGCAATCAAACACTAAAAAATGTCACCCCATTGAAATCAATAGGGCCCCGGGACACGCGTCCTGGGTGTCGCTGCG